GAAGTCAAGTATGTCTGTAAAAGAGCACACGAACCTCTGAAGTAACTTAAATCTATTACACATCAAAGTGTCATTACATCTGAATGTAATTATTAATACTATTTTTCAATAGCCATACTAAAAATTCACTTCACACACACAGTGCTTTTTGGGTAGTTTGAGAAGACTGTAAATGTCTCAGCTACTTAAAATCCCCCCAAATCCCTCTAGTAGGTCTACATAGAAATGGAGAGAGAAAATGTTATATTTACTGTACAGAAAAACTGTAGTTAAACTGTCGTTTTCACTCTGTTCAAGTGAGTTGTCAATTTGCTTCAAGCCCTATCGCCAGCAGTGCAGCTTGTGCAGTGAGGCCTTACTACTTTCTGTTGGCACAAAAGGTCGTTTCAGTGGGTGAACTTTTACCCAACAATGTCCCGCTGGAGCCGCGCCTAATGGGGTCACCTTTAATTCAAGGCTCAGGTCACTGCGAGAAGAATACCAAACTTAATCAGGTTCCAGTGTGTTCAGTAATACTTTGAATATCGTCAGAAGCTAGAGATGTCCTGAGAAAAACTCTGCAGTGGGCATGTCGTGTGCAATAGCAGGCAGACACTGGGGAGTGTGGGGAGTCGCTCAACTGTGTCCCAACTGCAGATAAAGCTTTTACAGAGAGGCAAGAGACCATCCTGGTCCATCCTTGACCAGATGTAGGAATAATAGGTAAACACTGAAAGATTATATATGCCACCTTTCCCACAGAAACTGATGTTCATTTATTATTTCATGAGTGAATTCTAACTAAATAAATCATCTTTGACACCATTTTTAGGGGAGGTTCCAGAGAAGAAACAAATTGTGTTCTCTTTTAGAAAGTTAAATTGCCTTTACTGAGTATGAACAAGGCTAAACTGAACTTGACTATTAAACTTAAAGATGTGTTGAAATCTATAACTGTTACTGGAGAGATTTGATTTTCTTTCATGATGCTGTTCCTCAACAGACGCTGCACCGCATCTCCTCCATGTTGTAAAAAAAAAAAAAAGACAGTGTAGAAAAACAAGGGGAGTTGCCTTTGCATCGTAGTGGCAGCAGGATGACTTTTCGCCTTTCACAGGCATCTTGTGTGAACACGCACCCACCCCACTTCTTAATCATTAATTTATCCAGGCACTCCTCACAACAGCCTATTTATAGAAGCCTTCACCAAACATCTCTCCGCTCTGTGCTCGTTTTCAAACAGCTGAAGAACAAGGCCGAGACGTCGGCGCTGTCTCTCCACTGTACCGCTCGTACCGTGTCTGTCAGAGCGGTGATCAAGAATGGCCCCGGTGCATTATTGGGCTTTCAAAGACAAGGGTGTTGATAGTGGCGGTGTGGTATTTTCAGTCAGTTAACTCATCTTTTATTATATTTTTCTTTCCATTTCTTCTTTCTGTTTTACCTATCTTCTTCCTTTAACTGCCCCCATACTTTCCTTGTCTTTTATTCTTTGCTTCATCGTCTTCCTCGAACCACAGTCTGTTCTAGTGCACTACACTACTTGCACTGTGATGAGCTAATTGCTGTCAGTAGTTCAGCGTGTGATGGGTCTCCAGTTCTATGATCCATAAATAGACTTTTCTAAACCTTTCGGAGAGACACAAGAGAACGGAGAAATATAGAGATTTGCATTCATTAGAGCTTTGCTTTTGACTTATGTTCTGCTTTCAGGGAAGGACGTTATGGGATATAAGAGAAAAGCTATACTAACACACATTATAACACAAAGCCATGCATATATAATAAGAGTAATCACAAAGGCTAGGAGATAATTAAAATAGTGGTTGTGCAGCTCCAAAATTTCAGAGGCTTGGGCAGCTTTAATTATATTTTTTGTTATATTTGTAATTGTACTTTGCACTTACATTGAATTAAATATGAATGACTGGATAAATTTAGTTCTTCTCTCAAGAAACTTGCCTAAATGTGTTAAAGACCACAGGTTTTTATGATCACATCCCCTTAACAGGCTTTATAGGCTCTGTAGGCTTCACCACAGTGGAATCAGAAGGCCCTCTGGTAGTTATTATAGAGGATACTATATTACTATATGGCTTGGATGTAATAAATTCAAATTACAGTGCACAGTTACAGAGCTTGTTAGAGGGCAGAACATTTGTGAAACTGTCAGTCAAATACACTACTGTTAGTGGCATTCGTTATAACACCATGGGATTTCTCACGCCTCCACTCTTCTGGGAAAGCTTTCCACAAGATTTCTGAACCTGGCTGCAGAGATTTCTCTCAATCAGCCCCATGAGCGTCCCTGAGGTCGGGCTCTGGTGTTGGCTGAGAAGGCCTGGATTGTATCCGGCGTTCCAGTTCATTCCAAAGGTGTTGAATGGGGTTGAGGTCAGGGCTCTGTCCATGGAACACCGGTCAAGTTTTTCTTGGAAGTTTTCACTTCCAAGTTGGGTAAACACTTTTGGGTAAAATACGGTGTCATTGTGTGCCATAATGTTTAAATTTCCCTTAACTGGAAGTATAAACGTCATTTTCTAGCAACAAGTTTATGTTATTTGGAATTATGAGGGGCGGGGGGAGTAGTTTCTTTCCTGTAAAATATAAGGCTTAATTCCTTTGAGTTTCTGTTGTAATCTTGAGCAGCTGCTTCGCACACCTGTAAAAAAGACAGAGAAGAAGAGTGTTGTTATGCTGAAGTAGTGCGGTGGAGCAAGTTGTTTGTAAGGCAGTCTCCTGTTCATCCTTCAGATGAACACAGAACAGTATGAAGTACAGATAGCAACGACAGGATGTGAGGGGCCAAACTAAAACCTTTTATTAAAAAAAAAAAAAAAAAAAGGCCCATAAAAAGCGACACAATTTGACGAGCATTCACATTCTTTCTGCCGTATTCTGCATTTTATCTTGGGCTAATGCTGAACTATGAAAGTGTCCAGAACAGTTGCCAAGCTGCAAAAATTATACTGCATCTTTGTACATGTGGAGAACAGTCATAAAACACTTTTGCTGGTCTATTTCTTTGACAGCACTTAAGCATAAACTTTATAGGATCGGTTAAATGGGATCATGTAGATAGAGAAGCTGTTGAATAATAGGCCCACTGATGAACTGTATAAATACACCCACTTACATCTTATTCACGTAACTTTTATTTATTACTTTCATTCTTGCAGACAATATAGATTATGATGGAAATATTGTGCACTGCCTCCTGTCAATATAATGTAGTAGTGCCCAATTATATCTAAATCTACAAATTACAAAATACATTAAGCATTTAACTATTATATTTTAATTTTCACATCTGCCTAAGTTAAATCCCCATTTATGTCTTTGTTCCTTTAATCTTTGTAAAAGCTCAGGGAGGTATATTAGCCTATTGATTATCAGCCATGTGTGGCCTAGATTGTAGCTGAGGAAATTGTTCCTTTTTCCCTTGGAACTGAAGCAAAGCTAGGCCTTCACCATAGGAAGATTAACAAAGCCAGGCAAGTTAAAAAAAAATCTAATAGAGAAGAACATCCATTACTGAATGGGCCACCAGTCGAGCCAAGAAGAGGCCATTAAGGAAAGCATGGACTCAGCTCCCTGTAGAAAACATTTATGAGAAGCACTCACTAATGGGTCAACAGAGAGGACTCTTTTCATCACTCAAACTAATTGGCATCTGTGAATCTGTAGCTTAAAGAAGAAAAAGAGGAAGCTGCTCAATGCTATTGATCAAATTTTGTGCGAGGGAGTGCAGATGGGCGATGTGGTGGCTTTCAAGGCTCAGAGGTGCAATAGACATGATGAGGATGCTACCTTCATCCATATAACACACATAAAACTGACAGAAGGATATACAGTTAGCTTTTCTTGCAGAGGAAACATCAGTTTTTTCCTGCATTGCTACAAACAGAAACATATTAATGCCAGAAAAGTAAAAGAAGGTATGAGGCAGGACTCTGATTATCATAACAATGTCCTTAACCCAGTCACAAACATAGGCAGTTAATGAGCTCTGTGTAAATCGAGGTGGTACTCTACCGTCTGAGGGACCTATTACATCCATGCCCTCATTCTCCAGGCCATTCTTAAGTGTAGGAGCAGTTATTATTTCCATATATTGGGTCCCATTGCTCCTAAGTCTCTGTAATTGTTTGTCATTATCAGTTTCCCTTTATTGGTGCCAAGAGCACTGGATGGCAAGCATGTGGGAAATGGAGGCAGGCACAGTCAAAGATAAACACGACGTTTGCCATGCATCACTGACAGCATCAAATGCGAGGGTGCAGGCCGCTCAATAAAACTAATCAAATGTGAATTTTAAGGGGTATTGACTCCGGTGGATCTAAAGAACAAGGGGTGGGAAGAAGAAGATGGAAGATCAGAAGCCAGCCTGGCAGGGCAAGGGCAGTCAGAGGGTAGAGCAAACAGACTGATTTTTAACAGACTGATTTCTCAAACACTGCACAGCCCCTTGAGTCGGGCACTTTTTTGTCATTTCTAAAGCCACTTCTATAGTGCAGAATGTCATAAATAAAAGAAAGGGTTGGACTGTCTCATGTTGTAATGAATCAAGTCACTTTTGTCACCCCAAAAAAAATTGAAGGCTGATGCTGTTGCTGCATGTGGATGTGGATGTGGAAATAGGCAGCTGCTTGCTAACACGTTTGCAGTATCAAGTTAGAAGGTGATAATTTGTCAATGTTGTGTTCATAGCTTGTTTCTGCTGCACCTCACTGGCCTAAAACAGCACAAAATAACATCCTTAATTAGTATTTAGCACTCAAAAACTTCACCACCTGTGTGTGTGTGTGTCCGTGTTTTGTTTTGTGTGTGTGTGTGTGCGCACACGTCTGTTCATCAGATTTAATTGACAGTGTCAGCAAGCAACCCCAAAATCTTGTGTACATGTAAAGAGTCCATCACTCGGAGTAGAAATCTGACTGAGAAAATGGTTTGTAAGGCCTTTGTGTGTATTGTCATTAAATATGACATTGCCCAATTATTATCTTCCTGTTTTCTTTCAGTTGCAGCGGCTGAAGCGCTCCCTGTCCTTCAAGTCAGTCATGCGCAGCAAGAGTGTGGACAACTTTTTCCAGCGCAGCAATGGCGAAACCCGCCCACCCTCAGGCCTCATCACTACACCGCCACCTCCACCATCTCCTCCCCCCTTCTCTGAGTCCCCCCTGGCCTATGAGCGCTCTCCCTCCCTGTCCCCGACAGTCAGTCCCAACCCTTCATTGTCCTCACACTCACCGTCTATCAGTCCCTCACTGTCCGTCACCTCCAAAACCCAGCCAAAGACTCAGGCCCTGCCGGTGCAGCCGGTCAAGACTCACTGTTTCCAGGAGCATGTCTTCCGTAGGCCTGCCAGCTGCCAGCGATGCAAACACATGATCCAAGGTAGGTTAGTTAATCCAGTTTACGACTGGCCCAGATTCTTTGAAAAATTAATATTTCATTCATGGAAAGGATGCAGATGTTGGCAAGGTGTGTTGAATCACTCACACGATGAAAGTGAATATGTTCCAGGAGGAATTTCTTACAAAATGCGGAACTAAGCCAATCATCAGATACTGTTTAATGTTAGTAGTTTTGTTGGTGAGGCAAACATAGTGAATATCAAAGTGCTTCTCTGGCTTGGATTAACATTTGCTTTAAAGCATCAGTTTAAAACCAGAAAACACAATACAGTATATGCAGACATTTCTGCTCCTGGAACTTCTGCCACTTTACCCAAAACAATGACACAAATTTTATTTGTGGTTCTCAAAGGACTGTGGACATTCTGTTTCTTCAGCACAAAATCATCTCAATGAAAATTCTTGACAGCAAGCTCTGTGGTCCAGTCTTTAACCGCCTACACTGGGAGTTGTATTGCCTTTTCCAACAACTGATATATGGACATTTCTCAGCTGTGCTGTTCGTAAAACAAAATCAATTGGACAGTTCATTTGTCTTACTAGCTCCCATTAAAATGGGATGGCTAGTTGCCTCTCAAAGCTTAATAAAAGAATTTGTTATTCTTTATGTCTTGGCAGGACATGTTCCTTGAATCTAAGAGTTTATTAATCAGTTTTAACCCAAAAACAAACTTGGAAAGACACGTCAACTCACATCTTAGAAATACTTCACATTTTAATGTTTCTCAAGTCCATGCTGTGCTTTTATAATCCTCTTTTGCTTTGGCAAATTGACACCAGAGAAACTGTTCCTGATTTATAATCCATTGTAGAAAGAAGCAAGCATGTGGCTGGGTATAGAGTAATCAGCTGGTTTCAGTCGTCAGATCAGTTCAGGATTGTTATTGTGTACGAGGGACACACTTGTGAACTGTAAAGCTTGAGAAAAAGTTTTCGGCTTCCTGACCAGTCTTTAAGGCACATTGATCCGTCACAATTCATGGCCAAGTCTTAGTGTGCTTTCAGTATTGTGGCTCATATGCTCTAGATGAGACTTTATTCAAACAGTTTCAATTTATACAGACAGACCATTTCTTAATTTGTTTATTGTGTGTGAAATACATATTAGTTGCTTTATTAATTAGTAAAACATTTTGTGATATTTGCTCTAGGAAGGAACATTTAACATACTGTACCTTGTGACATACAGGTCAGTCCACAGAAAACATATTACACACAGACCTTGAAGCATGCAAGTGTCAGAACCGATATTTAGACAGTTTACTTGCAGTGCGGGTTCCACATGTGAAACACACGTGTGGTACATTTACAGAAACATTGACAGCCATCAGTCTTCAGTGGACAAATAGGGCTGCGTGTTAAAGTGAATGTTGGTGTCTTTGCAGGGAACTCAAAGCAGGGGCTGCGCTGTAAAGCCTGCAAGATGGCGGCCCACCTCTGGTGCTCATCAGAGCTCTCCCAGCAGCCCTGTATTGGCAAGGTAAGAACTCTTCGGACTGACTTACAGTATCGTCAGGTTTCACTGCCTGGAACTATCCATCTTTATGAATCTAACAGCTTCACCCTTCTGCCCACATAAAATAAATGGTATCACAGACTTCTGACACCTAGCTTTCTGGAGATGTTCAGTCATGTAGTGTTAACATGGGTGTGAAACTGTCTTGGATTCTCCTCAAAGTTTCACGAAAGTAGCTGGTTTTGCAGCCGTACCAGTGACATACATTTAAGTGATTAATATTGTTTTATTATCATCTTTCTCATCTGTATTTTCTCATTCCATGAAATCTGTCACTGTCTTGGGGAAGGGAACAATGTCACCCTTGAGAAGACAACTGTCATTAGGATAAAATGCTTAATCACCGGTCAGGTTGGCTTTTTTATTAATTAATAATATTAAATTCAGTGCACTTCACTCTGAGATTATCGGTTTACTGTGGTCAAAAATGTGTCTTACAAAGTTTTTTTTTCATATTTTGTGTATTTGTTTTTAAAATGCACTGGAAACACACAAGTTCTGTAGAGCAGAGACTAAGCCAGAATGCATTGTGTCAGCAGAATTAAATAGCAACTGGATGCTGTAATTGTCTCTCTCAGTCAGTTGGCATAGCTTTTAGTCCTGGTAATATGCTTAGCCTCAAAGCCCCCATCTTGTTAAAGGAGGATAAATCCCTTTTCAAACCAGCAGACACACAAAGGTAGGGGTTATAAATGGAATGTGGATTGACCAGAGCTTTGAAAAGTCGACCAAGACACAGAAAATGTGTGAAAGGGTAGCAATGGGATAAAATGATCTTCCAACTATAAATGCCACAAGAGGAACAAAAAGCTGAAGAGGATGACACTGATAAAGTTTCAGTGGCCAGGTCCCAACATTTTTTCACTCAGCCTTTTTGTCCTTCCTGTCACATGTGCTGCTCTTCTCAAATAACACCCTCCTCTCTTCCTCTGTCTTGTCTGGGCGCTACATTTCCTCCCCCGGCCCCCCTTCAACTCTGTTGGAAAATCAATATCTCCCTGTACCAGCTGGTCTGGCTAATTCAGTGTGAAATTCAGTGTGTTTGAGGCGCTCACAATCCCTCGAGGATATGACACGGCAGGCTCTCGCCAAGCCTTCGGCAGTGTCCTTTTCGATCACTGCACACTCATCAAAGCAAGGATTAGGCATTTTACAGAAACCGGATGGAGTTCGAGGCTACTTCTTGTAAATCTACCTAACTTAATGTCTGGGGTTCACTGACACCAGAGTGCGTCATCCAATGTGTTTGGTTTGTGTGCAAATAGTTTACTTGTGAAATTTTACTTAGATTGCATTTTAAGTGCCGCTATTATTCAGGTGCAATTTTGAGATTGTGGAATACTGATCATACAGATTTGAAAATCAAAAAGAAATGTAGAAAAAATGGACTGTAGAGCTGTTTTAAGGCATCAAATGTCCCTATAGTTGCAGAAATACTTGGGCATCATGATGATATTATACATTTAATCCATGTGATTGGTGGGGAAAACTAGCAGAGTCGAAATGCCAGTCACACTCTTGGGATGACTGGAGGCCAGACAGAGCAGCGATGTAGTTGCTGCAGGGAGGAGAGAGGAGAGTGTCAACCAGCAGCAGAGTCCAGTGAAGACCAGGAGGAGCAGTTCATCTCAGTGTGACTAACCATGAATATATCAGTGCACATATGATGTAAGTCATTCACAGTGCTGTACCTCAGTACACTTTTCAGATACCTGTACTTTACTCAAGTATTTTTATGTTATGCTACTTTACACATCTATGTAGGGAGGCAAATATTGAACATTGTCCTCCACTACGTTTATATGAGAGCTATAGTTACTGGTTAGTTTGTAGAGTGTAACATTTTACTTACTGCACAAACTGCAAAAATCTCCTTATTCTGTTGTCTTTCAAGATTCCCACACTTATTTCTAGAAAATTCTTGATACAGGTTGATTTCTATAGGAAACAGGTAACTAAAAACTAATTACTAATTTTCTGATCATCATATAAAGTAGTTCAAATAAGCTCCAGTTTGGCCAACTCCAACACTGAAATGCTGCTTAAAGGTGAATGCATAGATGATTATAAGCCTATAAAATGTCATAGAACAGTTAAACAAAAAGAAAGAGACAGTTCTTCATAATGAGGACTTTTACTTAAGTAACATTTTAATAGATGACTTTTCCATGTAACAGGTATTGGCACAGCGTGGTAAAAGATCTAAGTACTTCCTCCACCTCTGGTCATTCATAACAAACAATAAAAAGACAAATTTGAGCAGGCTCAACTTCCACAAGCCTGTGTTTATGTAAAGTAGAGAAATTAAAAATGAAAGGGGAATATCGATGACGACAGGTCATCTGGCTTGCACTCAGCTCATTTGCTGAGTTCGCTCATATATGACCAATTGTTTTAAAATGTCCTCAGAATCGAGCGGCTTTAAATGACTTTGGAATCATGACAACCTTTTGCTAATCGATGTTAATCAAACTTAAAGATGTATTACAGTTTGATTGAAGAAATAAGTCTGCTGAGCTCCGCACAAAATAATTACTCCTGCAGAAAAGCCACACACACACAAGCAAAGTGTGAAATTTTCTCTTTCCTCCTGTCTTAAAGACCAACACTCACCATTACTAATATGCTGAGATATAAACGTAAGGGTAGCATTTGGCTATTTGGTGTGAAAGGGAAGGTTTCTGATGAGGAGGAAATGATTTATCTACCAGTTCTGAGCACATTAGTTTGTTTCAGTTTGGAGATGAGGCCAATCGTCACTCATTAATTAGCATAATTGGAAGTGAGTGAAGCATCTGCCCAGTTTGTTTACACAGAGCTCTTTTATTTTGTTTGTGTCCTGTGTTTCCTGTGAAGCACTTTGTGACAAATAGATTAAAACAATGATAATGAACAATATTCATATAAAAAGCATCACAAACTTGGCCAGAGCTGTATGTCTCTGCTGAGCTGCAACAATTAATCGATAGGGCCATCGACAGTATCATCATCCATCCTTCCATCTATTTCTTTCATTTGTCCGAGACAAGCATCAGATAAGCAACTATTTTAATGGTTTATTAATTGTTGTCAAATGCTGGATATCATTACAAATGTTGCTAATTTTGAGTTTGTCATAGTTTCATATCGTCATTCAAGTGTAGAGGTTAAGTTTCTGCTCTGTGAGCGAGATGAAGACAAGATTTTGGGCAAATGCTTTTCTGTCAGTCTGACAGCAGCCACCACACTCCCTCAGTACCTCAAAGCAATGTTTCACTTTTGAATGACTTCTGTACTTTTCAGAAAGTCTACACTCACAATATCTGTTATATCATCATGGCAGTCATTTTGATTCATGTCCTTGACATTAATATATTCCTTTACTCTGATTATCAGACACTGCTGATGTCATTGACAGTCTATAGATAAATTATTTATAAATGATTTCTCACTTGTTACATTATGTAGCCTGTGCAGAATATGTATTTTACTTTTTTTTTGCAGGGAAAAAAGCAACAAGTTTTACATGAGGGATGTTGTCAGCAAAATAATACATGACCCCATAAATGCTGTTTTATTTTGATTTTATTTTGATTTATTTTGAAACTAATTCAACCACTGAACGTGTCACAGGATGGCAGGAGGATAATTCAAAGATTGAATTACGTTTGTCTTATGTCATTTTCAACATGTATCACTTCCTGTAAAACAGATGAAAAGAGATAAATAAAGCTGAGATACTATCTTTATAAACTGTTTCTATTTGCAGAACACAAAATAGATTTATCACAGCCCCTCTGTCAAAAACAGGACTTTGTAATGTTATCTCTTAGTCTGATGAGTCATGTACTGTAGCTAAACATATTTCTCCTGCTAAATAAAGAAACACGATCAGATATCAAAGCTTGTACAGTACCAGATCTGCACTCCTCTACAGTGTGACAGAGACACACCTTTGTGGTGCTTCAGTATGCACAACCATGCGGATAAATTAGCTTGAAGGCAGAGAAGAAAAAAAGTTGTCATACTCCATTAGGCATACAGCAGTGTTGGGGGACATTTCTTCAGGTATTCAGTGTTAAAACTAATGGTGAATGTATTATTGCCACCATCAGTGGGCAATAGAGCCAGTGCAATAATGCAGTGATAAATCATATCATGTGATCTAACCTACATGTGTCAAGATGGGAAAAGTGTGTCAAAGGGATTCATTTTGATTCCCTCTAGCACTGAAACAGTTTGCATCAGTATATCAGGTGATTAGAGGTTGAGTCGTCACTGTCTGGTTATGGTTTCTGTGAAATTATGACTTCTTTTCTTTCTCCTACAGTCCATAAACTGAGGGGTTCGGATGAGAAACGACCACAACACAGCTTGATGTAAAAATGAGCAAAATGTTCTTAGAAGTAACCCACAAGAGAGGCGGTGCAGCAGCCCTGCTGCCTCCTACAAACTACTTTCATATGCAGCTTTTCTGCATTAGTGATTTCCTTTCAGTGCCAGAAAGAAGTGTGAAATTCAGTCATGTAAAAGTAAAAAGTAAAGGGTATGGAGGTCAAGATGGAGAATGGGCATTAGTGTTTTCCTTTGACAGTTGTCTTAGTTTCACACCCTGTTCCATATTAATAAACAGCATTGCCTTTTTCATTATTTAACCATGACCTCAGTGTTCCCCTTACTGTAAAAAAGTGGATTTACAAGCCTAAACTTCCCTTTACTGAAAGCATACATTTACATACATGCACAGATATTGTAGGAATAACCAAAGATGTTTGGAGGATGTGTACCAAGAGATGACAATAAGCAAAATATCTGCATCAGAATGATTTGTTGGACATTTCAGTTGAGCTGAAATACTGAAAGAACACCCAGCCTGCTACTCAGCTTTCATCACACATATTGTAGGCTCACCTCTCCCAGATAAAACCACAGGTATTGTCTTACATCTACCCATTTGTCTTTTTTTTCTGCCTCAAGTCAAATTTCTCCTTCCCCTGTCCTCCCATTTCTGTCCCTTGACTCCCCGCCTCACTGCCGCCGTTCAGTCAGGAGCTTTCAAGAGAAACTTCAGCTCTCCTCTGCTAACCATTGATCCGTTGGGTGTGGTCAGAGAGGCTCCTGCTGCTCAGGGTGAGTGATGGAAACGCTGGCTGATTCAACACAGCACCAAACAACAGAAATCTCAGGATGACTAATGACCACGTCTGTGGCCTTCAGTCCTTGATGCTTGACAGGTCACTGTGTATGTGTGCAGGGGCGTGTGTGTGTGTGTGGTGTCGTGTGTGTGTGTGTGTGTGTGTGTGTGTGTGTGTGTGTGTGTGTGTGTGTGTGTGTGTGTGTGTGTGTGTGAGTATAGTATCAGCTATAAAATTGCACATATGTTGCTCTGTTCCACATTGTCTGGCTGTGTAGAAGCAGATAATGGCATTGTCGACCCTGTGTATGAGGCACTGCGCTATGGGACGTCGCTGGCTCAGATGAGCCGCTCCAGCTTTGGCAGTATCTCAGAGTCGCCCTGTCATGAGGTATGAAAACACACATACACATAAAATACAGGGACAACACCAGTCATTCATTTCAATTCATGCTGACATCAGTTATACGTAGAATGTTTTTGGTTTTGCTTTTCTTTTTTCTAGCTAGAAAAACCTCAAGACAAACTAGAAAATCAGCCTATAGCTGAAGAGGAGCACATCCCAGGAAGTAAGTCAAATCATTTTCCTTTGACTGTCTAACTGATAAATGGTCGTGATGTAAGATGATTGTTGACATGCCATTAGATACTCTTCTCACTGTTGGACATCTTTCATTTGTGATGGTCAGTTAGATTATATTTTTGCTTACCCACCTGTGTCATCTAATTCCTGTTTCTGTAGTAATGTCTTACATTTTCCCAGACTTTTGTCAACCTAAAAAATATCAACACTACTTTTATCTATGTGGAAAGATTGCATTCTGGTCTAGCAAGGCAGCAATTCGGAGACATCTCTGCCTTTCCTGCAGTTCATTTCTCCTCATATGAGGCTTTCCTCCTGTATCCAGTCTTTGTGCTAAGCTAAGCTAACAACCAGCTGGTCACAGCTTCACATTTACCCTACAGACATCAGAATGGTGTCAATCTTCTAAACTAAATAAAAGCAAATAAGTATTCCTTTAAATGTCATTGTCATCCAACATTTTGAAAGAGAAACAGAAATTTAGACCAACAATGCAACGATCTCAGAGACGGATGATTCATCGTCAATGTATTGTTCATATTATTTGTTTCCTTTAAAGTCCTTTGCAACATGTTTCTGACAAAGGAGCAATGCAAACCATATGTCCAAGAGTTAAAGAAGCGTATTACCATAAGACACAGTACACTGTAGAGGTGGTGTGCTTTTGTGTGAGTCTACCCAGTACTTTTCCCTCTCTGTCTATAGTCCCAGGAGAGCAGATCATCTCTGTTTGTAGTGCTGCCACTTTACAGTTAATGACCTTGACTTCGGCCTTCCTTCTGTTTGCAGCACAGTGACAAGGCCTCTCTCTCTCTCTCTCTCTCTCTCTCTCTCTCTCTCTCTCTCTCTCTCTCTCTCCTTTCTCTTGCACCCCCTCTCTTCCCCCCGTTTCCGTTGTCTTGCACGTGACCTTTCTTTCTCTCTCACATATTGTGTTTCCCTCTCTCTCTCCCTTTCTCTTTGTGGTTATACGTCTGTCTCTCCAGTGCTCACCCCTCCTGAAAGCGAGAAGGCTGATTCAGAAGACAGGGTCAGCCTGAAGGTGTGTAGTCAGCATTCCTATCATCTTTCAGCCTTATTTTTCTTGGTGAAACTGCACTCTGTCAACCCCCTTCAAACTCTCCATCCCTTTCACTCAGTTTCAGACACACGAGGAACATATCGATAACAATCTTTAAATTTCACTCTTTGTATTTGTGTTTTTGTCAGACTCCCAAACGAGTAGAGGTCCACTCCATCCACACCTATGTGGCTCTTTACAAGTTCCTGCCTCAGGAGAAGAACGACTTGGAGCTACAGTCAGTCCAGTTTCTTTGTATACTGTATTTCAGTGTATGAGAGTAATCAGTTGAGATAGGAGGAAATGTTCACCTGGCCAAATTTTTACTGACACTCACACACCATCTGCCTCCTCAGCGGGATGATTGTAGGGGGTTGAAGGGTTCGGGGTGGGAGGAGGAACGGTGCTGGGAGGCCGGGAAGGACAAACAGCTGCGAGTGTGTGACAGAAGAGAAAGAGTCTGTATGTTAGTAGGTGCAGGAAACCGCTCAGTGTGGTATGACACCCACCACTAGTTTGGAGGATGCTGTGCTAGAAGACAGCACACGAGGCGTCTCTTCACATGGACAGAGCAGTCCGGTTTCCTCAAAGAATAACTAATTTCACGGTGACATTTACAATAGTATATGTGAAACAACATGGGACAAGAACTCTTAAGAGTGACATACAGTACAGTGATGAGTGCTTCCTGATTAAAGCCTAGTCTTCTAACTTATATGAGATCTCTGTTTTCTAGAGGAGAAATGGTGATAAATATCTTGTTCATGTGTTGTCACTTCTCACTTCCGCAAACAAGACTCAAATCAGAATTATAGCTTGATATGAAAGCAGTAGAAATGCTATTTAAAGGGTGCTCACTGTAGCATTAATTGCTTTGTTTGTCTGTCTGTTTTTCCTCCAGGCCTGGTGACAGAGTTCAAGTCACAGATGACTCCAACGAGGACTGGTGGAAGGTGGGGAAAAATCTTTTCTGTTCAGATGCACTAATTTGTGTCCGTACATTTTCTCTCCACCCATCTTTCGTTGTTTCTTTGTACTAAGCCAGTGTGTAGGTGAGTAAAATACTCTCACCATGACTCTCAGGATTACCTTTGAATAGATACACACAGTCCCACACATATAACCTTTACTTCCACAGTCAGAGCCTCAGTTGAAGTCGTTCCATTCAGCTTATCATAGACACTAAGACAGAAGAGTCGGTGGATGTGCTTGAAGGACATCGGTTGTGGATGTTAGCAGAGCTAGTTAGAGGAAAAGAAGAGGAAGACAGATTGCAGTCTGTGTTTAATGAGGCAGCTGAAGATCTTAACCTTCACCTGCCACAGGACAGACAGGTCTTTACATAAACGAAGCACCAGGGAAAAGTAGAGGGATATACACTTCAGTAAATGGCAGGAGACATATTTCTGCTGGTAATTTTGCTTTTCTAAAGAGTCTCAGTATGAATTTAAGAGAAAGAACTTTTAAGTGATTTGAATAAAATGTGCAGATACTAAACACTTTGTTAGATTTAATGTTTTTGCTGCTGGAGCCATAGTTCAAACCAAAAAAAAAACAAAAGCCACCTCGTTGTTCTTCCCCATCTCTAAGGCCATTTTAGTGTTAGACAGTTCATACTTAAATGCTTATGGTGAAGGGACAAAATATACTTTATTTGATGATCTAGTACAATATTGAATTCAAATATATGTAAATTTATGTAAAATGACACAAACAATACAACTGTTAATGTACTGAGATTAACTGTAATTTTAAACCTTGCAAACCCCAATTAGAAAAGTCACATTTAAACGCCACAGAAATCTGCTATTTCACTGCAAACATGTCTTTGCTTAATGTGGAGGGGCCAATATCTTGATATAAGCAAAACATGTGACTCTGAAACTCATGGGCTTTGTACGCTTGCTTGCCAGAGTCTCTGAAGAGAATAGAGGGGGATTAGGGATCTGCAAATACAGATGCTTTTTGTTCTTGTACTGATGTTGCTAATTAGGGAACAAAACCATTTTCCTGCTAATTGTACTGGTTCATTCCAATTTCATTTTGTAACTGTGATAGAAATGTGATGCATATTTAGGCAACTGGTCAAGTAAACAAAAATGAAAATGCAAAGTATCTCATTGTGTATGCGCAGGCAAGGACTGTCAAGGACTGTGGTGGAAGCTGCCTGTGTTGGTTTTGCTGTTTGTGTTGAAACATGAGCAGCAGATGATTGAAGTGTAGTGGTTTCTTTTTGTCAAGAGGGCAGCAAATTGTGGCGTGGGATTGTGTAGAGGATGAGTTTTACTCAGACTGTGGGAGATCATCATTAAAGGTTTTTGTACTGTGGTTCAAACAAAGCAATTAGGAACATTTTTTTACAATTTTAGTCGCCTCAGTACAGAACAGAAAATATCTATTTATACTTCATCTGTCAAAGACTGACCGTGTGTGTGTTTGTGTGTGTGTCCATATTTGGGTGTGTTAACCAGGGTAAAAGCAAAGACAAGGTAGGATTTTTCCCAGCCAACTTTGTGCAGCGGGTCCGCCCTGGTGAGCGGGTGTGGAAGGTCACCACTGGTTTCCACGGTAACCGAGACAAAGGCCAGATGACTGTAAAAGAGGCCCAGGTGAACACGCATTAAAATTCACACTATTTCTCTCTCTCTCTCTCTCTCTCTCTCTCTCTCTCTCTCTCTCTCTCTCTCTCTCTCTCTCTCTCTCTCTGAATTCATTTTAAAATGTATGCAAATTCATGCAGAAAACTGCTGAGATTACAGAGGACAACATGTTATGGCTTCCAATGCAGCTCACTTTTAGCCTCAGTCCACAAACTGTATCACATCACTGAATGTCACTTGCACCTCCTCCTGCTAAATATTCTTCACTCCCCCTCCCCCCACCCCACCCCACCCTTCCCTCCCCCACTGTTGACACCCCCTCTGCAGATCTGTGTGGGGAAGAACGAGGAGATTGACGGTTTCCTCCGGCTGACTAGCGGGAAGAAGAGAGGCTTGGTCCCTGTGAAGTGTCTGCTAGAAATATGATGGCGGCGCACTTCCCCTTGACCCTCAGTTTGATAGAGAAGTTCACTATGACGGAGGAATACTCAGGAGTGTTTACCCAACACCTCACTGACCGCCAACCACCCACCCCAACCCCTCCAAAATCTGGCAGTGAAGTAGCAGCTTGAGTGGACGATGATCCACAACTTTGCTTTTTACTGCAGAGGATTTTAAAGGTTAAGACTTAAAGGAGGGGGCGGCTTCTTTAGAGTTCTTTAGAGCTACTTTTCTTGTAGCACAACTTTACTTTGTGTTGTTTTATACACATTCACAACAGAAATGTAGCATCATATAGCAGAGGATGAGCGCGCAGGAAGTCTGGCTACCTCACTAGCCATCTCCATTAGCCGTCCATCTGCGAAAAAGGGGAGAGGACTACTTTATTATGATGTCAATGCGTGTCCAAGCCTAAAGGACTTTGTGAGCAAACTGTCTTCATTTCATTGTTCGTGTAGAGACATAAGAGATTGTGAAAGATTATAGCTGTTTATCGTAGTTGCTTGTGCCAACATGTTTTGGTCGGTTGTTTCAAACCCTTTCACAGATTTGCTTTAGTAGATTCAGCTGAGGATATAAACTATGACTATCCAGTTTTGGATGTGCAGGCTGCAGCTCACGATGTGCCCACATCTGCTGGTGTGATATGGATTCATGATGTGCATATGGTTCACTCATGCTCTGACTAGAAAATGATTCAGGTATTACATTATGTAAAAACCCAAAAGTCTTCTCTGCTACAATTTGGTCAAATGAAAGTCATAACACACACACACACACACACACACACACACACACACACACACACACACACACACACACACACTGGGGTTTCTGTTTATCAGACTTCTCTCCAGTGATTAGATTACAGTACATTTTTGCTCTTCACAGCTCTGATGTGACAAATGCTTTCCGTGCACCTCGGGGAGCCTCTTTCTCAGTATGCCCTTCAATCACACCCTTTCTGCACACACTAACACACACAGATTTTATAGCTCACTCCGCTCCATGTAACTCTAAAATCAATCACTAGAATCTGCTTCCTGTCATTGTACTCTCAGCGTTGTTTATCCGTATGTAATGTCCAGTAATACTCGCTGTCATATCTGGTTGTGTGCTACAACGTGAGGACGGTGTGCTGTCTCGACTGTCTGATCTACATGCTTTTTCTTCCAGGGAAGAGCAGAGCAAAGAAATACTGCAATTCAGGATGATGAATTCAAAACCAAACTCAGTGTTTTTCTGTCAAAAAAGTGAGAAAGGCTGTCAAACAAAGCTGTCAAAGACGTGTTGAATTTTTGATGAATGGCTACTTTTTCTCCCAGCACATGTGGTTACTTTTAAGTAACACTTAGGGACTGTTAATTGTTGCTGTAATTAAAGGTGATGAAAGGCAAAATCACCTCACACCATCTGATTTATTGCTGTCAGTATAAACCATAAAGCAGTGACAAACTGCCTTTGTTGCAGCAATAACTGTAAATAAAAATATGACAGTATTTGTAAATAGCCTTATGAAGATACTATATATATTGGCTCTGAATAGCACTCTGAGCAAGAGGTTTGCAGCTATCCAGGAGCCAACTAAGGGCATTAACTTCACAGTTATAAATTACAGGAGATTATTGTTTATGGTCCCACTTACCAATGTATGCACCTCTATGCTCAATTAACATCAAGCCCTGTCAGCACAAATCTTTTCAAATACTATGCACAACAGTTCTAGTCACTCACTTTATTTTGTACTCTGCTTATTTCCAGCGGCGCCTCACACGGATTAGTGTAAACTTTTGCAGTGTGGCTAAAGATTTGAATTTGAACTCCAACTTCCAGGAGTCTTGCAGCTTTTACAACGTGTCCATCTCGGATCAGTCTGCACCATGCTTATCCTAAACATTACCGTCACTGACTAGAACCAAGATTGGCTCAGGATCAGTATTACCCAGGTGAATTCCCTTTCTCACTTTAATGCACACGACCAGGCTAGTTCTCTGCATGGCCAACTGCCCTGTGAGCCTCACATCTCTCAATAAAGTCAGATGAACTCTCAAGCTGTGTGCTCTTTGTAATTCAGAAATAATTCATACTTTGTTCCTCGGTTGTGTGCCTTGGTTTTTTTTTTCTCTGTCAAGAAGGCTGAGAAGGATGAAATGAAGATTTGGTTTGCAAAGAGCTTATGGCATTATCAGTAAAGGCAGTACATTGCAGCTTTAAATCTGTGCTACTGTTATAAGTCTGCACTCATGATTATTTCCTCAATTTTGCTAAAGACAAAAAATAATGTTTCTCCTTCTCAGTCCAATGTTTAGTTCTGAAGACCATGACAATTAGGAAAAGAGCATTTCATTTGTCAAATCTTGCTGCAATGTTCAAATGTCAAAAGGCAATTGAAACCTTAAACTGTTTTTTACCTCATAAATGCTGGAACTTCTGTAAAAACATCACATTTTTACTTAAGTTAAGGTACAAAAGTATTAGCAACAAAACAAACTTGTTTGACAATTATTAAGGAATTGACATGTCCAGTAAGTAGAAATTTGTTGTAGCTGGAGCTAATTTGAACTTACTTACTTATAACAGTGTATCATTAGTAAAATATACAGAGTACTTGAGTAAATGTACTTGGTTACCTCCCACCACTGTATGGGACACACATGGACTGGTGTGGAAGACTGAAGGCTCACGGTAGACTAGTAACGAGTTGCTTCTTCTTCTGTGTCCTTCACCACTTCCAGGGTTTTTTTTTTTTTTTACCCCATAATCAGACAGTGGCCGTGGCTAAAGATTCATTAGTAATGTTGTCAACCACACTTCTTCATGAGTTGACGTGTTTTATCAGTGTGTTGAAGACATGAACCTGGACAGTGACCTCACAGTGATGGCAGCTTTTTTCCTCTACCGTTTAATAAAGGATATTCCCTGTTACAGAGCAACTACAACAGCCAAACAATGTTGACTATTGTAGTTTAGCACATTAGCATGCTAACATTTGATATTTACCTCAAACCACAAAGCTGATGCTGATGGGAACCTTGAATTGACCCAAAGTGTCGGACCAATGGACACTGAGATCGGCAGACTGTAGAACTGTAGAGCTGCTAGCATGGCTATAAACACTATGACTGAAACATGAAATGCCCCTTTTTCATCCACTAACTTTTGCCTCGCTAATTACTGAAAAGCATTAATTTTAAGGCCAAAAGTCGGCACTTGAGCCTCGTATTCAGTGTCTAATTTCACACCTAAATTCATAAGCTGGAGAATCCAAACAGGAAATGTCTCCCTTCATGGCCACGAGATTCAAGTACACTGAGATCTTTTATTTGAGTTGACAGTGCAGAGCCTGAAAAGACTGCTCGTTCCTAATGACCATAAATAATATGATTAACTCCCAATAAAATTAATTGGCAACGGAGGAGCTGGCTGGCAGGCCGTAGACTAAGCTGGCAAAGAGAGTGTTGTGTGTCTCTGTGTGTGTTATGCGCGTCCCTGCTGTGGTGAGAGGAACATTTCTCAAATCATGACCCAGTTCTGTTATCAAATTGAATCAAATGTGATTTTTGTCTCTGCAGAGAGAGAGACAGAAATGTGTGCAACTGGCAGTACATCAAGCTACCCGTACATTTTATAAAATTGCTGACTTTGGTGCTCAAGATGGCGTGGTACTCTCCACTTCCTGTGCCACTGAGCGCTCGCTCTCTCTCGCTCTGTCTCTCTCTCTCTCTCTCTCTCTCTCTCTCTCTTTCATGACAATGAGCAGAGGAATTTGAAATCCTCTGAAATTCTCTTTTTGTGGCTCAAACAGCAGCTGGGTTATAGTCTGTTCCTTAGCAAATCATTTTCACCCTTCTTTCACGCTACATCCATCAACATCATGACAAGACACTGAAGCGTTTAGTTTGAGGCAACAAATCTTAACCAAGAGTATCAAAGAGACTGGTCCTGAGCATATCATGCCCATACCAGAAAATGAAATAAAATGGCTCATTAAATGTGTGAATTGTTACACATTCATTTCCTGTCCTATAATGTTAGCACTCGCATCCTTGCATCGCTTGGAATTGAGCAGCAGCTGCTGGACGGACCCACAGTAGGGGTGATGATCGCAGCACAAAGGGCGTTAACAGGCAGCAGAAATATAGCAACAATGCAAATTCTGGAAGAAAATCCATGCTCAAAATAGCACTTGATTATAGGCAGGGAGAAGAAGAGGAAAGCACTGTCAAAGGAAAATAAAGCTTTCTGGTGCTTGGCAGAGAAAAAGAAACAGACACCTCACAGACCCCTGAATCAAAAACATGCAAATAAAAATAATCTCCTGTCCCTCACTTCCTCTTACTGTCTGTTTTTCCTGTGAGAGGATATTACTCACAAATCTATACATGGCTTGTAATATGAAAATCTCACTTTATGGGATACACATTATATGGATGCAGTTCATTTAATCGGCTCACAAGGCAAAGATTTATTATGTAAACATGGGTTTGTAAAGAACTGATGTGTGGTGGTTAGGCTGTGACCTCGTCACTCCCGGCAGGTATGCAGAAAGCTCAGAAAAACACAGATTGGGGAGTGACGATGATAAACTTCCCTCGGGGGGAATGTAGAGCCAGCGGGTGGATTCTTGTTGGTTTTATGAAATGCTATATGAGCAGCAAATCATTAGTGTAGCAGCAATATATCAAAGAGACAGTGGGGAGAGTACTGACACCTTCAAATTACCCTTCTGCAATCTTGTTATCACACAGTGGCTTACATATACATCCAGCAGAAAGTGAGCAACATTAGCATTCATTTCGGTCCTTTATCTGACCATCGGGCGGATGTAAGTCCAATGTATACTGTCATTTTACCTCTAGTCTGGTCTCCAGCAACCCACTGGGTGAAATATCTGTTTCTTTAGCCACTAAATGCTCCACTGTGTTCACCAACTACTCTGACGAGAGCAGTGAGACTGAACCTAAACCGGCCATGAAATTAAGACAATAAGTGCTCCCTCGAGCTGAAGGGAACTGCTGGTTGGTCACTACAAGCAACGCCTTTCACATAAACATAGTCATTTATTTGATTCATCAGTA